ATTCAGTATGTGACTAAAGGAATGGTATAAAACGTAAAGTTTTGGTTATGTTAGTCATGATGTTTGCAGTTTACCTGGTGAAAAGTTTACAAAATGAATGGTTTACATCCATCTCAGAAAGGGCCTGGATTTAGTACTAAATCCAGGAGTTTCTGGAGAATCATTTAAACTGAATAATGGGGACAGAGAGTTAATTGATATAAAACATTTCTCTCCCCAGCAATCCAGAACTGATAGAGTTCAAAGTGTTTCTAACATAGATGTTTGTGCATTTAAGAATATTAAGATTGGTGTTAAAAAAAAACAAGTATGTACAATACCATGTGCACTAATCAAATAGATAGTAGGGCTCAAGGGAACTCAGACACAAAACAGGTAATGTAGAAAACAAACACAGCGTCAGTCAAAAAGGACTCAAATGCCTTTACCCCGATGCATAAAGTATGAGAAATAAATAAGATGAACTAGAAATCCAAGTAGATGAAGGCAGATATGACATTGTTGCCATTACAGAAATTTGGGATGAAACCCATGAATGGAATACTGTATATAACTACAGGGGCTTAAAATGCATGAAAGAAACAGACCTAATAAAAGAGAAGATGGAGTTGCCCTTTATATAAAAAAAATAAGTATATCTCTACAGAAAGTTCTACATTTAGCCAAGAAAAACCAAATGCATAGGTGGTATCTGTCTCAATATCCCCCCCCCCAAAAAATAAGATCTATCCAGAAAATAAGCCATAATGTCAGGGTTCCTGAAAACCCCAACTCCAATGAAACTTCGACACAGGCATTTTCTCAAAGCTCCCATTTCTTAGAGTAGGTATACAGGCACATCTGGGAAAACTCAAATCTCAGAGTTCCGGGTTTTCCCTCAGTGTCAAAAGTCCAAATCCATCCCATGCACCCATCAGTTCATCACATGGTGCAATCCCAATCGGTCCCAACTCGAGACATCACTCCAACCACTCCTTCTCCAGATGCAGGAATACCCTGACCTTGACCAAAAAGTAGAATGCTATTTTATCTAACAACACCCTCTCTACTAAGTCCCCCCTCTTGCTTTCCCAGGCACAAGAATGTGGCAGCATGGAAACATCCAGTGTTAATATGGCTTCCAAAGCTGACACATAGCATGTTTTACGCATGCACCTAATATAAGCTCTACTCTCAAAATAAGCCCTACTTTAAAACCTGCTCTGCACCAACTTACATGAGGCAGGTGTCGGGCATGGATGGCCTGAAGTAAGCTGGTGTGGAGTGCATTGGGCAGCTCCATCACCTGCCTCACTGCGGCAGCACTAGCACTTTGTGTAGCCTCCTGCCCCACCGCGAACAAGCAAAAGTGAGCCTCCCGTAAATGGGAAAAAGACACCCTTCCAAAAAAAGCCTAGTGCTTATTTTGGGGCCCAAAAGCAAATAAGACCAGGTCTTATTTTCGGGAAAACATGGGTGGTAGTAGTAACTGTGAAAGAGATCTTTGAGTCCTAGTGGACAATCACTTAAATATGAACCAGCAGTATGCAGCAGCTGCCAAAAAACCCGAACACAGTCCTAGACTGTATTAACAGAATGATAGAATAAAGATCATGTGAAGTATTAATACCACTTTATAATGCCTTCCCAGACCACACTTGGAATATTGCATCAAACTCCATTATTCTGTTAACTTTGGATTTGATCAGAAATTGCAATTAATGTTGTGAAGTCCAAAATTGCTACTTAAAAAAAAAAAACTATTACTCTTTTTGTTTCCTAAATTGCTATTCACAAAGGTTTGGAGACCTTCTTATGTTCTAAGATGAATGAACAGCTAGAATAAATCTTCGCTGCCTTCTTATGTACAATAAATGTATTGTGAACATAGTTTCTTTGTGTCCTGTTTCTGCATTAAAAGCTTTTTGAAAATCCTATTGTTTCACATAAGTAGGAAAGCATCATCTTAAGAGGCAGAACTTGAATAACAAGATCTGGTCCTTTCCTCACTTCATTAGTCAGAACAGAAGAACCCTCTTCATGTTTTTTCCAGTTTCCTTAGCACTATGGTACACAGTAGCCCTTGCAAGTTTTGAAGAAGCTCCTCTTTCAAAAGGTTTGTTAGAAAATCCTACACTTTGTTACAGACAAGTTTCATTCAAAATATTCAAAACCATTTTGATATCAGACTAGAGAAAGACTTAATACTATATTCTACTGCTGTCCATATAATTTTCATCAAGATGGGTCATAAACCTCATAACTTCCAATACATCTGGAGGATATTAGTTGGGGGCAAAGCTGTTCTAAGAAAGAGTGGAATATGTAAAACCTGTTGGCATTCTCTGCAATTTACAAAATAAATGAAATGGCTATAATTTTCTATATTTACTTGGAACTCTTATTACTTATCTGCATGTAGGAATTTTCATGTATGGAATGAGATCTGGATGAAAAGACTGGACTTGCCCAGTGGCTTTGACGGCTGGCAGGCAATTGATGCCACACCTCAGGAAAAAAGCCAAGGTAGGACGCCAGATACTGTATATGCACAAGCAAATGAAAAGTTAATATTTGGTTATATTTAAAATCTATTAAGTTTGTTCTCTCACAATTCATTTACTTTACGTCACATGCATGTATAATACTCCAAATAAATTGTGTATATTTTATTTATGTACATGAAATGTGCTATTAACTTTAGTTTTACAGATAACAAGGGACAGTGAAGTGGAACTATGGAAACCAAATCCAAGATTGTAATGCAACAGATAGATGAGATACAGGAATATTATTCCTAGATATTAGTAAAGCAATCCATAAAACTGAATTCATTCAAGGGAATACTTTATAGTGCCATCATGTTGTTGATAACAATTGCCAAAGGACAAACTACTTACATCTATGTGATGTGAAAACATGATGTTTTTCTATAATGCACATTTAGTATACTGCTTGTCATCATCACCCATTGTTTGATCATTGTTTATTGCAGTATTTTCATAAATACAACAAAATTCCTGGTTACAAAGATATGCAAATGGAAATGGAGGACTTTAGGAAACTGTAGATTGCTTAATGCTGCCTATTATATGCTTACCTTGAAATTCTGGATGGACACAGAAGTGCCACCTATTGGATTTACTAATAGGAAAGTAATTATTCTCCATTTGCTCCATTCCTCCATTCTGTAGGAATTTACCAGTGTGGCCCAAGCCCGGTCAAGGCCATCAAAAATGGTGAAGTCTACCTTCCCTATGATTCTAAATTTATGTTTGCAGCAGTGAATGCAGACAAGATTTTTTGGCGTGTAAAGAATGAGAATAGCACAAAAGACTGTGTCAAGCTGTGGGAAGAAATTAAGGCAATAGGAAAGAACATCAGCACTAAAGCTGTTGGGAAGAACATCCGTGAAGACATCACTACCCAATACAAATTTCTGGAAGGTAACCACCTGATGCATTTGATCTTTTTTATCAACAGGGAAATTTATTTTTTCACCTAGTTTATTAATGGTACCTACTTCAGATTTTGAAGTGTGCACTTATGCTGTAAATATGACTAAAACAAACTTGTGTTTTAAACATCATTCAGCATAATTATCAGAAAGGCAAATCAATAAGGAAGAGCTTTTCATTGCTAACTCTTCATGCATGGGATAATTCTTAGTCTGAAATTCTAAATATTAATAAACTCTTTGATACAAACTTATCTGATATTTATAACTGACAATGGAAATGATTTCGGATTAACTCAATTTTTTTCTTGTTCTTGGGATTGGTTATTCCTTTTGTTCTGTTTTTTAAGGTACTCATGAAGAAAGAAAATCTGTGGAAACTGCTTACTCCTTCATTTCAAAACTTTCAAGTCATGAAGCTATATCATCTCCTAACCTCCTGAAGGCAAATCTGAAATTTAGGGTGGAAGGAAAATATTCTTTGTGGCCTGGGCAGCCAGTTGACCTGAATGTCATTGTAGAGAATGAATCTGTGGGGAATTGGACTGGCTGTCTTGCTGCGTCTTGTCAGCTTGAATCTTACACTGGGAAAGTATATGCAGACCTTTCAACAATCAAGCAGATTATCCACACTGAAGGCAAACCAGGTGTGTGTGTGTGTGTGTGCATGTGTGCATCAAGAACTAGTGTTTTTGTTATAAGCAGAATTTATCTTTTGTCTCACTTTCACCTAGACTTTTTATTTGTAGTATTTTCTATATGAACATAAAAAATAGAGGAGCTGTGTCTTCATTGCCTTCATCTTTTCAGCTTTCTTGGTATTTCCATCTCAAAAGCAGAAGGCAATATTTTTTTTAAAAAGTAACAAAATTATCCAAATAAAGGATCTGTGAACTTGTCCTTCTCTAGTTATTTCTGTGTTGTTGCAGTTATTCAAATACCTTGGAAAATAACAGCTGACACTTACATGCAAAAAATTATGTCTACTGAGGATGAACTTCTAATCAAAGTAAATATTATTGCTGAAGTTCAAGAAACAAATGAAAAATTCACAAAAGAGATTACTTTAAATTTTGAGCACCCACCTCTCAAAATTGAGGTAAGAAATTGAATAAAATCTTCAAAGATCACTGATAACTATACAGTATATTATTTTCTTTGTAATAAATATAAACATTCTCTCTTTCTACCTTCTTCTGTAATTTTTAAAAAACTTCATAGTATAGTTTACAACTATGGAATTTCCCATTTGTCTTCCGTATGAATGTATGTCTTCTTTACTTTGAGATTAGCTTCTATGACAAAAAATAAACAGCTGTTCAATTACAAGGTGTGGTATTGATTGATATTTAGAACACACTAGACAACCTATGACCCACTGAGTCTTCTTTTGTCAATATGTATGTATCTAAAGAGAGAAACAAGATAATCATGAATGGGCAAAGAAGTGCCTTTCAATTTTCTGCCAGCTTCCTCATTGACTTTGCTTGCTGGAAACTGACAGGCAACATCAAAAATTACAATTGTGATTATAGCTGACTGCAGCAGCCCTGCAATGGATGCAAATTTGTGAACAAAACTGGTGGAAATATCTTTAAAACTTCCAGTTATCCTGAGTAATGGGTTCTAGATTTTCTATATAGCAACAGCTCTTAGACTTAAAGTATATACCACTTCACTGTGCTTTCAAGCCCTCTCTAAGCAGTTTACAATGTCAACATATTGCCCCCAACTATCTGGGCCCTCATTTTACCGACCTCGGAAGGATAGAAGGCTGAATCAACCTTGAGCCTGATGAGACCCAAACTGCTGGCAGCCAGTAATCAGCAGAAGTAGCTTGCAGTACTGCATTCTAACCATTGCACCATCGCAGCTATATATTCTTCATGTTACAGGATTTGAGATAGCTTGATTCAAAAATGGTTGCTATTTGACACAAATATTTCAGCTAATTGAAGGATGCAAACAGACAAGAGACTATATACAAGGATAGAATTAAGTCAGTTTCCTACATTCCAATGAATTGGATTCAAACAAAATGCTTCTGAGATTAAAGAGAGACCTCAGTACAAACTTTGAGTGATACTAAATCAGTCAGTCTAGGCTCCTGAACTATTAATGCAAGAACTTCCTCTCTATCCATACTCAGCCTTAAACATCTTCATATATATATAGTTGTTTGAAAAAAGTATTATGATTATATTCCCTTTACTATCTTTGTATTATATTTAACTTTTATACTGCATTTTCTTTAACTGAATATGTTCAGTCAACTGATTCTTTATACTTTTTAGATGGCAGACACTGCAAAGGTTAATCAAGATTTTACCTGTGCATTTATCTTCAAGAATACTTTATCCATTCCATTGGAAAACTGCAAATTGTATGTAGAAGGCCTGGGCATTTTTATGATGGAAGTATTTGATCAAGGGTAAGTTGAAAATAGCTGAACCACAATTGTTTTCTCTTGTCAGTCAATAGCATACTGAAGCAAAGTTAGCTTTCTGGACTAATGGACCTTAAAAGTACCTCTTCTTTCTGTACATGGTAATGCTATTTTCTTTTGCTTTAAAGTGTGGTACACTAGTCTCACTGTAGTTTAAATGTAACCATAATTACCTCACAGTTATTGTTATTAATGCTGCTAGTTCAACAACTGAACGTGCTCACAGATTGCTAGTAAAGCTCTAAGAACATCTTATTTGGGTTATCATTTGGTGCAGGCCTCTATGAAGCATAACACAATGCAAATTCCAATTGGTGGTTTGGACCATATGCTGGCATTTTTGTCTGCAACTTTTTAAAACAGCTATATATCTATGAAGATTCTCAGTCATTCAGATCATGGTTATCCCAAAGGTGCTTTTTCAAGAGACAACTGAACTTTCTGCTTTTTCTTTGAAGACATTTCACTTCTCATCCAAGAAGCTTCTTCAGCTCTGACTGGAGGGTGTGGAATGGAAGGATGTATACTCCTTGCAGATAGCTGGTCATTTAGATTCTTTTAAGTCATTAAGGTCACCTGGAGGTTTATCTGTGTCATCAGGGTCACCTGAGTGGTACAAATGGGTTTGGAGCTTTCTTGGAACTATTGAAAGGACTGGTTGTAGATTGAAGATAGATTATGTTGCATCCCTCCCCCTCTTTTGAGAGAGGGCCGTTCAATTTTGACATAAATGGTCTCTTTGACCATGAAATGTTGAAATGTTTTCCCTTCATAAGCGCATTGCACAACAAATATGGGACATGGCGTTTACAGAAATTAGAGTATTGTTGAATGTAAATCTAGACATGTCACCGAGGATTGCATTACTGTTGCTGGTGGAAACATGGGATATAAATGAAACAAAAAAGGAATTAATTGTAAATTTGATAATGGCAGCTAAATTAGTGATGGCTAAATATTGGGGAAGAAATTGGGATATTCAAAGAAATGAGTGGTATAATGAAATTTGGAATATGGCAACAAATGATAAATTAACAATAGAAATTAAAGTTTAAAAAGAGATGATTAAAACAAATAATTATAATGAAATATGGAAGAATTTTATAAAAATTAGTGTTGGGGGAAGGCAAAGGGAATATACCTACTCAAGAATATATGTTGTTTTGAAGGATATAAGGGCACAATTGGAATATACTGTATATCTAAGAAATATAAGGGGAGATGGGATGGGGGTGCACTGTCATATGTATTTTTTCCTTTTTTGTCTTTCTTTTTTTGTATTCAGATGTATATGTACTGCTTGTATTATTTGTATTTTTAAAAAAATAAAAAGACATTTAAAAAAAGCATAGGAGAAAAAAACACATCAGGACTAGATTCAGCAGTCCATCTGCATTTAAAAGATACAGGCCATGCTTTTGAAGACAGAAAAGTCTACATTTTGGACAGAGAGGACTGCTGGTTTTAAAGAGGATCAAAGAGACCCTCTAGGACAAAATTGAACAGCACTCTCTCAATAGAGGGGGAAGGATATGACATCATCTATCTCCAATCTACAACACAGTCCTTTCAACAGTTCCAAGAAGGCTCCACATTCATTTGCACCACTCAGGTGACCCTGATGACACAGATACACCTCCAATGACTCACTAAAAAAATGCAAATGACCAGCCGCTTGCAAGGAGTATAAATCCTTCCATTCCCCATCATCCAGTCAGAGCTGAAGAAGCTTCTTGGATGAGAAGCCAAATGTCTTCAAAGAAAAACCAGAAAGTCCAGTTGCCTCTTGAAAAAGCACTTTTTGAGAAGGAGAAGCCACGTCGCGATGTCACAACGTGTGGTCTTGATACTCCGAGACAGCCATTGACACTTTTGCCGCTGGATGGTCCATTGAGACCTAAACCATCCCATAGAGATGGTGATCAGGAAGACAAAGGCTTGCTGGTCTCAGGGACATCGCAAGGGAAGTGCTTCAAGACGGCAGTAAACAGGCAGCCCCCAGGCTGATGAAATCGGGACACTCCGGAAGGAAGGAAGTGAAGAGAACGTGAGTCCATCTGGTGAGGTATTTTTTTCTATTTTGCTAAAGACTGCCCAAAGAAATTTTTCTTTAAAGCCAAATTAGATCCTTAAGCAAAAGAACTGAGCGGCGAAAATAACCCTAATTGGATTGCTGTGAAAAGTTTTTTTTCTTTTTAATTATTCTTTGTGGATTGAAGTGCTCGCAATGTTTTTCATCTCTCCTCTTAAAGTGAGCGGATTGATTTTTTTTCTGCTTTTTGTTGCTTTATTTTTTGACTTCTGGATTAAAACCTTCCTTCTTATTTTAACAATTCTTCCTATTACTTGTTATTAAATCTCACTAAAAGAAATCTAAAGAACTTTGTTTCCTATAAGCCAGGGATAAATATTAGAAGGTGAAAAATTAGCACACTGCCACTCAGAGGTCAGAGGCTGGGGTTTTTGAAACAACGTATCTCTTTTCTTTCCTTATTTGACTTCACTAACTTTATAGCTGAAGGGTTTGCAACTTGTTTACAGAAACTGATAAAGAACCAAGGGCATGAATTGTTTTCACAGGTGCCTTTGAGAATTATTTGGCAGGGAAAAGAAAGGGGGGGGAACAGAACCCTTCACCTTTGAAGAGCATAAAAGAACTTGTGTTAAGGTCAATCTAAAATAAAAAATAAAAGAGGCCTGGAAGAGTAGAGTAGCAGTCACTATTAGTTTTTTTTTCCTTTTTCTTTCTTTCTTCTGTTTTGGAAACATGGATCAATATTCAGATGAGGAAGCCTTAAAATTCAAAATATCTTGGCTGGAATTGAAAATATATTGGAAGGATATGGGAGAATTGAGAAGAAGTTGGAAAGACTAGTTTTCCTCACAGCAAAAGATGATGGGGTTGGAGCCCCAAAAATTAAAGGGGAGAATGAAGAGATAGAAGATAAAGATAATATATGAATTTATTAATGGAGCAAATGTGGGTGAAAGTGGAAAGAAGCAAATATGGAAAAGGGAATTTGATGAATTGGAGCTCTACCCCAGATTCCAGGACACAGAAGAAGAAAAAATACTAATGATGATAGACATAAGAAAAGAAATTTTTTCAGAAGCAAGATTGACAACCAAAGACAAGCTAATTTTAGTAGCAACTGATGGGCAATGAGATTATCTGAGAGACCATTCAAGCAACAAAGTGCGGAGAGAAATCTATAAAAACCTTATAAAGGAGAAAAAAAGAAGACTGACACTACAATTGGCAAGAGAGATAAGACTGCTTTGTTACTGGAAAGATACAGTGACAATGAAAGTTGATAATAAAAAATTAGTTGATTTTGGTGATTAATAAGTAGGAATTTTGTAACTCTTAGATTGTTTTAGATTGTTATCAAATGTTTATTTGCTAACAATTAATTAACCATAATAATAATAGTAAGATATACAAAGATTTTTTTATTTAAAGTGTATAATCTAATATGAACTATAAGTAATGACTGTGGAAGAAATGTACAAAAGTTATCTGTAACCAATCGACACACTTTCTACAAGATATAATGAAGGATGATTCTTTTTTTGTGTTTTTGTTCAATTAAAATTAAAAAAATTCAAACAAAAAAGAAAAAGCACTTTTGGGATAAAGCGGCCATAATTTTTTCTTTGTCGGTCTGTGGCTCCTTTATGCCTTTTTCTTAAAATTGTCATTTAGGATGACATTACATTAAGATGAAGACAGACGTAGAGGCTGGAATAGGAACATTGGGTGCAACATTCTTGCTCTACATACCTTAGAACATGTCTGGAATATAAGTAAGCATAATGAAAACCTTTTGTGCCATATCACTTTTGCTGTTTAGGAGAATATATACGTATATACCAAATAACTGGTGTTCAGCTACAATTCCACTTATAGATTATGGCAAAATTATCTCTTGCATGCAGATTTTAATTAGAAGTTCTATCCTCAGATTTTTCAAACTAAAGTCCCCTATATAATTCATTTTATCTTTTCTCTCTTAGGGACATAGAACCTGGTAAAATCTTTAAATCCAAAATAGTGTGTGCTCCAAAGAAGACTGGACTGAAGAAGATAGTGGCCAAACTGAATTCTACCCAGCTAAAAGAAATAACCATGGAAAAGATTATTTCCATCATTGAATAGTAATGGTATTCCCAAAGATCATCATTTGGTGGCACTAGAGATGCATGTTATGATTCAAGTTTCTAGATTTTGCTTGCAGCCTTGATTGTGGGCCAAAAGATTATATACAATTAAAAGAATTTTAGCAGTGGATTACTATTTTGATTTTATCTACTGGAGATTTAATAGGATATTGAAATACGCTTTTTGGTTTGCAGAGTTCTGACATTTTCTGACTACTAAAGTTATATGTGAAATCAAGAGTTGGAATAATTTAGGAGGATTTTTCTTTGTCTTCCTTTAGCTCTGTGAGGCATATTTAGCCTTCTCTTTTCATTTTATAATTTGTAACTGTTCCTCACTGTAGGTCTAATTGCTAATATGCAATATGTTACAAAACTTCATACACATTGTTCTTTCATTAAGAATATGCTAGGTTAGTGATGGCTAACTTTTTTGTTGTCACATGCCGAAGGTGCCCCTGCGCAACAGCATCCCCCTGTGCAACAGCGCCCCCTATGCAACAGCGCCTCCACACCCATAAGGCAATGCACATGTGACCCCCTGCTCCTCACCCCCCATGCATGCGCAGCAGAGATCCAAAGACCAGCTGGCCAGTGGGAGGCACACACGCATGTGTGGTAGAGCTGGGCTGGGGCGATGGCTGACGTGCCCGCAGAGATAGTTCTAGGTTTGCCATCAGGGTGTTTGATATATTAGTTTCAAGTTTACTTCCACAACTAATGTAACTGACAGAGATTTCAATATTATTTTCTATACATGTAGATTCTATGAACATGGTTGCCAATGAAGCACAAATTAGTGCCTAAAAGTTCCTTAAATGTATTTATCACCAAAATTAAATTGTCTTTTAATTCAGAGTATCAATTCAGAGTATTACTCTAGTATTAATACTACTCTAGTATTACTATGAGTATTAATTTGGAGTATTACTTTACTTTGTCTACTACTTCTAGTTATGAATTAATAGTTCCTATCAAATAAAAAGTATGTCTTCTCAATCAATTCTTCTGCTATTCCTTTTGTTACTTGCTTTGTAATACTTTTTAAAATCCATGTGTTGATGTCTTTACAAGTGATCAGTCCTCACTAGGAAATTTGGAAATGTGTAGATGATCTGGGCATGCCTAAAAAGGAAGAGTAAATTGTAGACATTTTCCAGTCTGCGGGGACCATCACCACCTATCGCCACTGCCATGCCCCACTTTCAGCCTCCGCACATCCCATTTTCATCCTTCGCGCGCCATACTTTTGGCCCATTCCAGGTAGTGGGGATAGGCAGTGGTGGTCCCTGCTGCCTGGAGCAGGCTGCTGGGAATGGGCGGAGGCTGAAAACAAGACATGTGGAGGCTGAAAATGGGATGTATAGAGGTGGTGATGCATGGCGACAGCAGCGATGGGCGGTGGCGATCACCGTATCCAGGAAGAGCTGATAGGCATTATTATGGGAGGCAGATCCAACCACCAATCAGCTTCTGGTGCTAAATCAGGCTGTGCTGAAGCTTACCAGCCTGTTTGCTGCAAGAAGGCAAATTGCTGGGAGGCAGAGACCAGGGGATGGGGGCTAGCAGACATTCAGCAACATTTGGTCTATAAGACACACAGACATTTCCATCCACTTTTTTTGGGGGGGGAGGTGCATCTTATACACCAAAAAATACAGTAGGTAGAAGCAATATTAGACAGACAGAATGATTGTATGACTGGGAAATTTATGTTTGTGCAATTAAAAAAAAATAAACTTCATACTATGCCTTGTGTGGAAAGTATTCTCAAATTTGAGTCCCATATTTGTGTGTTCTTCCCAAATTCTCAGAGTCATCCTCTTTACTCACTAAAACCAATGAGTAGTATGGACATAAAATCATGTTATTTCCATAAAGATTTGAAAAGGTTTTAAATCAATCAGCAGTCTTCAATTAGATTTCATATCACTTTTAGCTAAGAGATTGGAGGAATTGAGAAGTATTATAGCCTTATTTGCAGTTCATTCATTCAAGAGTGTTTTCGGTATTAACACTCTTTCCTGTTGTGTTAATATATCAGGTGAAAATTACTAAATCCTGTTTGGAATTAAATGTTAAAATGCACACTAATACATGCAATTATTTGTTTAAAATTGGGTTGGGAGAGCTGTAGCACTTAAGTTAGAGAATGCAGAATGGTCAACCATATTTTTTGGAGTATAAAATGCACCTTTCCCCCCCAAAAAAGGGGGTGAAAATTTGGGTGCATCTTATACTTCGAATGTAGTGCAGGGGTTGGGACTTGGTTGGCGAAGCAGGCATTGTGCAGGAGGCGTAAGGCAGTTTCCGTGATCTCTACCGTCTGGAACACCTTCATTTCAGATCCACTGCCTTCCGCATGCCTGGTTGAAGATCCACCACCCTTTTCCCTACATATTCATACAACAGGACAGCTTTATCATGACAGCTATTCAAGCGGATGGTGAACTGCCTCTGCTCCTGATCATGCTCCACTTGGATGGGGAAGCCGCCGCTGCCAGGCTCCAGGTTGAGCAGAACTGCCTGCGCCACAGAGAAATCCCCCACCCTGCCACTGGCTGCTTCATCTTTGTCCACGTGCAGTGGGGAAAAGCTCGGAGGGGAGCCCGGGTGGGGTAAAGAGTGTGTGGAATGAGGGGTCCATTCCCCCCCCTCAAATCAGCTGATGAAACAGATATTTGTGCTGCAGATTATGCTTTTAGTAATAGACCACCAGGAAGCTGGTTTCCTTATCAGGAATTGTCAGATGATAGATAGGTAGGTAGATGGATGATGGACAGGCAGATGGCATGACATAATGTAGCATCTGGGTTTCTCTGTTCCAAGAGCCAATATTCAGAAGCCAAATGTGTGGATAGTCCATGTGAAAGAAATGAAAGCTTGGATTTTTAATCTCATTTGATCTAAAGTCACTGCAAGGATTTTGACGGCATAAGATTATGCGAGGGGAGAAGACAGGTTTAGATAGTAATTGAGTTCTAAAATAACCTTACAGAAAGATCATTTTAAAAGGACTGCAAGCACTAAACAATAAGCAGACAAGCATGGGATGAAAAACACAATCCTTTAATAAGTACCATTTACCTGGAATACAGAAAATAAGAGAAAAGAGCAAAAACTAATACACAAATATTTGTAAATGCCTACTCTTTAATTGTATAGGATAAGCCAGTGTGCAGCCCTACAACTATTCATGAAAATACAATATATATATTTTCCCACATGCTAAATCCCAGCCCACTGTTAATAGTCCCAATTATTTGAATTAATAGCACTTTTTGGCATACTTAGCATCCAGAACAGCTGCATGTCTTGTTAAAACACAAAGTTGTTTTGAACATTAAGATACAGGCTAACTGGTTACATAATGTCATGTTAAGGGGTGAATTTAAAAACAAAACAGTACTTACTTCTAGGTTATCAGACCCTAAAGATTCTGCTTGTGCAAATACATACATACGTACGTACCAGGGGTGGGTTTCTCGCCCCGTTCCAACCGGATCGGTTGGAACGAGGCTGGCGGCGTCCTCGCGCACGCACGCGGCACGCGTGTGCACGCATGCGGCATCCTCGCGCACGCACGTGGCGCACACATGCGTACTAGCGTCTGCGCGATGCTCCAGCTGCTCCTGGAGGATCGCGCAGGCGTTCTGCGCATGCGTGGAAAGCGCAAAATTCGAAAAAACCGGGTAAGGAGCGGGCGCGGGTGTGCGCNGCGTTCTGCGCATGCGTGGAAAGCGCAAAATTCGAAAAAACCGGGTAAGGAGCGGGCGCGGGTGTGCGGGCGCGCACGGGCGCGAGGGGGGGGGGCTTCGCCGTTCCCGGAAGTTACTTACTTCCGGGTTCGGCGACCAACCGGATCGCAGGGACCGGTGCGAACCCGTCGAAACCCACCCCTGGTACGTACGTACATACATACATACATACATACATACATTTAATGCAGAGCTTTAAGGCAAGCTGGCTTCAGCGGAGTTACTGGCAGTAATCAGCCATATCCCTGGTAATATATTTACAGGTAGTTTTCGAGTTACGAATGTAATGGAGCCTGCCCATTACATTCATAACCCTAGGATTCATGGGAGTGAATCTCATACATTGAACATGATTACTCCCTCCTTTTGGCCACATATTCACTAGTCGAATATGTGGTTTGTTAAGTGCATATAAGGTATTTCAGGGTGGGGAAGGACATTGGGGGGGGGGTAGTAATGGAACAGAGCACCTGCTTAAGGCTTTCCCAACCTACTGAAATATCTCATGGCCCCAACAATTGCTTCCCCCCCCCCATCCAACCTGCCACACTGCGTCACTTACCGTGCAAAGATATAGCAAGCTGTCTCCCCCAGCCTTTCAGCTGTGCGCACCCTTCCAAAGCTTGGTTTTGGTATGTGCACATGTCTGGCACTTTGCAGCCCAGAATGGAGCTCCCGAGAGACACCTGCACCCCTCCAAAGCTCCATTTTGGGCTGCAAAGCACCGGATGAGGCCTACATATGCCAACAACAACTCTGGAGGGGTGGGGGCACTTCTCTGAAGCTCTATTTTATCCAGCAAAGTTCCAGATTAGGCCTGCACATGCCAAAACGCAGCTTAAGAGGGGTGCATCCCTCCCTCCAGAGCTCCGTTTCAGGCTACGAAGTGCCAGACAAAGCCTGTGAACACCAAAACAGAACTGTGGAGCTCCATTTTCAGCTGCAAAGGATTTTTGCAAAGATAGCAAAAGGCTTTGCAAACAGAGGGAACGCTTCAATGTTTCAAGCCTTCACTCCATTTGTAATTTGCCTTTTGCTGCAGATCTTGTCCAGGCTCCATTTGCAGAGAACAGAGGCATAAAGCATTGTGAGACCACAAGAGAGCAATAGCATGAAATAGAGCAAACAGAACAAGGAGAAAGAGCAAAAGACTAGAGAGAAATAAGAAAAACTAGGAGAGCAAGATCTATATACAAATGACAGGAATGGAAATTGAAACTAAGATGTTGTCACTCAAAATAAATGGATTGAATCTCCTATGAACAGGACATTTTTACATGCCTACAAAAATTAAAATTAGATATATGTTATGGCCCAGCAGGAGCCATTGGAGCTGCCACCAGACTCCGACAGCGAGGGTCCCTATGAGCCGGCTTTGGAGGATGTGGAGGACCCTGGACAGGGTTCCAACTCCAAGCAGGGTGCAGAGAGGCTGGTTGGCCACCAGGAGGCGCCTGAGCCTTGGACCAGTGGGGAGGAGCCAAGGGAGTTGTTCCTGGATGCCCGGCACCAGAGAGCTAATAGGCGTAAGGAACAGTTGTGCAGTTACAGGAGGTAATTGCATTCAGCTGGTGGTACTTAGGCTCCTCTCAAGACTATAAAAGGAATGCCTGTGCACACGCCCCTTTGGCAGGAGTCAACGCATTAACTAATGTTGAAGAACTGTGGTGTTAGCTTGGCAGGCTGGATTGCTGCCAAGGCTTGTCTGTGCTGGATTGCTACCAAGGACCTGCCTGTCTGTTAATAAATTCCGTAAAGTATCTTTGGCTCGGCGTGCTTTGGTGTGGGACTAGAGGGGTCGGAACAGATATAGTTTGCCTCCAATAATATATTTATATTAAAATCCAAAATAGTCAACTATTGGAATACCCCAAGATTGGGAATTTATATTTTCATTAGCAAAAGAAAAGAAAAGAGGGGTGGTTTTATATATCAAGGAAACAATAAATACTAAATAAATCTATACAGATGAAAAAGGGGAAATTTTGATGAAGGAGTTAACAATAAACCAAAAAAAGATACTTCTGATGGTAATTTATGCACAAAACGATAAACAAGAATTTTATAAAAAATTACACAAGATGCAAATATATACATGATAGGAGATTTTAAAGCAATTATAGATATAAAACTTGACAAAAATTAGTAAAGTAGGTAAAAAAGTAAGGACTCTTCCTGGGGCGTTTGAGAGTAAAAAGAAAATAATTCAGAAGTTTTATAGAAAATTATATGACCAAGAGAAAGT